GAAAGTGCATCCAAGCCCATGTGCGGAGCTGAGGTAGGAGCAGCAGGAAGCAGAACAAATCACAAGCTGTAAGAGCTCTGAGGGGAACAAGCTCTGCACCAGGCGGGTCAGCCGGGAAAGGGTGGGAAGCAGCAGAGCTGACAGTCCCCAGAGGGATGGATTTAGCCTGTGGAATGTTCTGGGCTGACTGGGGTAGTTCATTGTCTTCAGAGGAGCTGGTGCGGGTGGTGGTTTGGGTTTGTGCTGCAGTGTTGCTCACACAGGGATGGTTCAGTCACTGCTGAGCAGCACTTAGACAGAGCCAGGACCATCGCCACTCCTCACCCCCCAGTGAGCCGGCTGAGGGGGCACAAGGAATTGGGGGAACACAACCAGGACAGTGACCCCGACTGACCCAAGGGATATCCCAGACCAGCTAACACTGTGCACAGCAATGAAACCGTGGGGACGTTGGAGGGGGCTGCTGCTTGGGGGCTGCCACCACACAGTGACAGTGAGCAACTGTTTCCATTGGCTCCGCTTGTCTTGCCTGGGGTTTGTTTCTATCTTTTTGGTATTTTCCTTTTCGTTATGATTTATGATGATTTTTCTATTCCAGTTATTAAACTGGTTTATCTCAACCCATGAGTTTTCTCACTTTTATCCTTCTGATTGTGCCCTGTGCTGCTGCAGGGTGTAAGTGAGTGGCTGTTGGGGTTTAGTTGCTGGCTGGGGTTAAACCACAACAGGAATATAGAAGAATTTCATGATATCCCAAACCATCACCTGTCTTCATCTAACAGGAGATAACCTGGGAGCTTAAATTTCTCCTCCCTACTCCATCAAATGCCAATATGAGAAGCCCCGTGCTCAGCACCGACGCTGCTACACCAGACCTGTGACTGCTCCATGGAAAACATCCCATTTCACGCCGGGAGCCTTCCAAGGGCACGCTGCTCATGCTTGGGCCCGTGCTCAGTGAAGCAGAGCCCATCCAGTGGCGGGACCGGGTTGTGCTCACCTGGGCGCCCGGGGAGGTGAGCCTGGACCCCATGCTCCGTCCCACTGAAGTCCTCAATGAACTTCTGCCTCCTCAGCGGCGCCAGCAGAGTGCGGGGGCTCCGGGCAATGGTGGGGTCGGTCAGCAGGCGGTTCGTGGTCCTGCCAAAGGTCTCTCCGAACTGGAAGTTGTACTGAGGGATGAAGCCCTCATAGCTGGGGAGGAAACCGAAACAGAGCATCACTGAGGTGGCGCTGGAAGGTGCCCAATGGTTGGGTATCTGCTTTAGAGCTTCTATGCACTGGGGAGGGCACAGCCGGGAGCACACACGGGTTGGAGTACGCGAGCCCAGGGAGGTGATTGTACAGGGATGTGCCTGGAGCAGGAACGAGAACTGGAGCAGCAGCATGAGGGGAGCATGGAGCAGAGGAAGCCAGGCCGGTGAGTGTGTGTTTGCACACGTGTGTTTTTACATGTCAGCATGAAAACTGGCTGATGGATTTACAGGCGTGTGTAGGCACAGGCTCAGTCCTTCGGTTCATGGGGGAATACAGAGAGTGTTAAAAGCAGCACCTGCAGATGGGAAAACTTCATAGACTCCCAGCCTGGTTTGTATTGGAAAGGACCTTAAAGCTCCTCCAGATCCAACCCCTGCCACGGGCAGGGACACCTTCCACTAGAGCAGGTTGCTCCAAGCCCCTGTGTCCAACCTGTCTGTGAAGGCAGATGCACAGTGTGGGCTGCAGTCGCTGTGACGTTCCTCCCCAGTTAAAATACTGTTTCCAGTTAAACACGCCTCTGTTATAGATGTTGCTCTCCCTCTCTCTGTGTTATTGGGAATTCCCAGTGTCCCTTGTTCAACACTGACACTCAAATCTGACAAACTCCTGCAGGACACGCTGCTCCTCTGCTCCCCAGCACTTGTGCGGGCAGTTGGGTGGCTCAGGGTGCTGGAGCTCTGGCTCCGTTCCCGAGTCCACCAGCACAGATCAGAAGCTGCAGCTATTCCCAGCACCACACTTCCCCACAGTGATGTTATTCCACCTCTGAAGAAGAAAGGTAGAGCTGCCAGTTGCAATGTGCAGACAGAAACACTCAATCAGTGAGCCCACTGCCTACCCAGGAATAAAGCCAGAGGATGCATGAGGATCATAAGATAATGAGTAAGTACTTTCTCTTCCAAATACTTTAAACAAGAGCAATCAGAGCTGTGCATTTCCACTTGGTGAATGTTCCCATTTTGCATGCAGGATCTCAGCAGCAGCTCAGTGCCTCATCCCCATTGATTTTCAGTAGGTCTTGCAACATGGGAAAGCTACACCAGGATGATAAAGCTGAGCAAGAGCCCAAATGGCTTAGCCCAAATAATGACAGGGTGGCTGGAGGGCTGAGAAAGGGTTCAAGTCATGACAGTTAAAAGCGAGGTAAGTGGAGGAGCTCGGCTGAGTCAGTCTGGGGTGATGGAGAAGGGATCTGCCACAGCGTGAACGACAAGTGCTGCGCTCAAAGCCGTGGTGCTGCGGAAGGGACGGGTCCCAGTGGGGCTGTTTGGCCTCCTCCTGCCTTGTATTTGGATCAGGAATCCAGAGGGATCCCCTGTCACTGCAGCTGCTGAGCTCACCCCACGTTGGCTTCCCCAGGGCTGAGCCCTTTCACTTGCCTCTTGCTCAGCCCTATCTCTGCCATCGCCACTCCCAACCAGCAGCACCAAAACCTGCTCCACCGTCCTGGTCACCGGGAAGAGCCTTGGCCCTGGGCCTGTCCTCGCTGGGCTCCGCACCCTGCCCCGCTCTGCAGGGAGGGGGCTGTGCCCTGGGCCCATGGATTTATCCTTCTCTGTGCACCACGTCCTTCTCAAACCACCCCCCTCCTTGGGTTTGGCTTCCCAATGCTCCTCAGCACTGCCCCATCTGTGACCACTGCCCAGCACGAGTGACAGCAGCAATTTTGATGTCCTTGTGTTTGCAAGTTCATGGGCACAGCCCATGGGACAACTGGTGAGATGCTGTGATGCAGCATCTGCCTCCTCCTCCTCCTCCTGCCAGCACTCAGCAGGGTGCAGGGTCTGCTGGCTCTGGCAATGCCCTTCAGGCAGCTCCTCCCTGTGCTCAGCACCCAAAGCAGATGCAAAGCAGCACCTGTATGGGTGACACCACAAGCCTGCACAGCCCTGCAAAATGCAGGAGCAGAATTGAGCTCCTCTTCCTCCTCCCTTCAGCTGCTGAAGCAGCAGCCACAGCCTCTGTGCCTGTATTACAGCTTGCAGCTGCTTCTGGGTTCTGTCTGCAGGCAGGAGCAGGCAAGAGGAAGGTCTGAGGCTTTTGGAGGTGCAAGGCCAGCCACAGCTCCCTCCTTGCTGCTCCTCATCCTTCCGCAGCCGCTGTCAGCACGGCTCTGACAGGGTGGCAGCACACATGGAGTCACCCATCACATCGTTCAGACAACCACAGCAACACAAACTGTGTTCAACACACCCAGCCCCAGAGCTTATGTAAGCCTGGGAGATGCAGAGATCAGTCATGGAAAAATCCTGCATGTTGCTGTGATGGGAAGGTCTGATCTGAGCGTCAGGAGCATTGCCAAGGGAGGGAACACGCTCCACACGACCTGCAGCTTGGGCTCTGCCCGTACTGGTGCCACATCTGCAGCCGTACGGGACAAAACTGGTCTGTCACAGCCCCTCTGCCCCAGGACATCATCCTGATGCCCTTCGGAGTCAGCCTCAGGCTGGACTAATCCCAGTGGATTTGTACTAACAGACACTTGTGCGCTGGGGCTGCCCATGAGAGCATCTGGCCCTGCTGGCCCATGGGCTACGAGCCTCCAGCCACCTTGGTGGCCATTCATGTGCCATGAACACACCTCCCAGCATGGGATACCAGGAGACTGCACACACCATCTCCCTCTGTCACCACAAAGCCAATCCACTTACTTCCGCCATTCCTGTCTTACTTTTTAACCAACAACCCATCACCTCTTACCATGACAGTTTGGCTGCTTCTTTCCAAGCCCTTGGAGGAGAACATCACAAAAACCTTTGGAAAACTCCCCTAACTGCAAATGAACCAGACCACAGCATCCAGCCACCAGCTCTTCAAAGAGCTTGGTCCAGCAGCAGGACTGTGCTCTGACCCATCTGACAAGAGTGCATCATGCCCATGCAAACACTTATTTATTCAAAGGAGATCTTCAGACATCCTTGATGCAAAAGTTACAGCTATTTGGAAGCCAACCCCTGTGCAGCTGCCCTGGTGCCATTTGGCAGCTTAAAACATATTAAAAAAGAGGGGGGGAAAGAACAATTTTGGCACTATGGCAATGTCTTTAGTTGTACCCTGTTACAAGGTGGTGTTTCTTACACTGGAGCCCCATCTCCTTTGGAGCACTGTTACATGGAGTATTTAATAGTGTCTTTTAAATGAAACCAAACAACCAACTTACCATGACTCAGAACTACTGATCCCAACGGGAGCTGTTTGCATTGAACAGACATTTTGACTGAACTTACCCAGGGATATGGTAGGGATGGGAAGGGAAGATGCTATTTTCCTTCGAGGCTGCCATGGCAATGCAGCAGCTCTGGGTGGTGGGAGGAAGGAGATGCAGCACGATGCAGTTGCCCAGGAAACCTCTGTGATGCACCAGGGGCTGTGTTGTGTCAGGCCCGACAACGCTCCCAGCTCCTCAGGTCTGCCTGGACACGTCTTTTGTTTCCCCCCCATGTGGAAGCTCTGGATGAGCAGGGAGATGTCACAGCATTTGTCAGGTCTCCTGAAGGCTCACACCCCTGGGACAGCTGTGCCAGATGTTGCCCACCAGCAGCCCCAGCACAGCTCTGGAGAGCTCCGGTCACCGGTGCAGCAGAGGCTCAGGGATTCCCCACACCGCAGTGGGAAGGCTCAGCCCTCCTCTCCCTTGGTGCCTCCTGGTCTGGTTGCGTGAGGATGCAGCCCTTTGCTTCACACACAACAAGGGCTGTTCCCACTCCCAACACCATGTGGCCACGTTGTCCTGTGTGTGGTGGGGTTCACTGCCTGTAGCTGAAGGCAGGCACAGAACATGGGGTCTCCTGCACTGAGCAGCCTCCACAGCCAGTACATCAGAGACCATGCATCGTTTCACCAAGCGCAGTGCCAGCAGTGAGGCTCCTTCACTGCCAAGGTCCCTCTATGGCCTTGAGGAGCTCAGCCATGGGCCTGGCAGAACCATTTTAAGCTACTAACCAGAGAGTTCTAAGCTGTTCAGGTGCCCGTTCCTCCACCCAAAATCTTATCTGAGGAGATCAAACTGCTGCTTTGACTCTAGCCCTTGGTGTCTAATGAGGGATCTGGAGTTTCCAGCCTTTGTAGATGTATTGAGTTTGCCCAGCTCCTGAGCAATGCCAAGGGACAGCCCTCTCCAGCAGCCCCAGGTCTGCAGTAGATGGTCTGAGGGGGATGATGGCTCTTCTTAGAGGTGCACAGTGAACGACAGAGGTGACAAGCACAAGATGCACCAAGGAGAAGGCCCAGTGGACACAAGGAGGAAACTCTCCTCCATGGGAGCAGCACAGCCCTGGGGCAGGGGTGGCATCTCCACCCTCTGAGATCTTCAAAGCCCGGATGGGCAAGGCCCAGAGCACCCCAGTGGAGCTTTGTGGTTAGATCAGCTTTCAGTGGGCAATTTGATAAGAGACCTACGAAGGTTCCTCCCAGCCTAGGTTATCCAATTTTAACAGGAAGAAACTGCTTACTGAAATGCAGCACTACTGTAACACAATGATCCCACACAGGTCCAGGTCCCATCAGCCCAAGGGGGCTCAGGCCATCATCATCCCAGCACTTCCAGAAAAACCCTTCAAAGCTCAGTCCTTTAAATGGCCAGTGGCTGCTCCTTCGAACCTCGGGTTCCCAACACTTATCAAAGAGCTACTGAACAATCAGAGCAAGGTGACCGTGCTTAGTGCAGGCACCTGGGTAAAAGAATAAAGTAGAAATCACTTTCGTCAAGGTTATCATCAGAATTTATTGATATGAGAGAAACTTTGTATGTCCACGTGTCAAGGGAGGAACAGCACGTCCTGATGGAACAAGTACAAAGCCCATCCAGGTGACCTTAGAGTGCTCTGGCACCTCTGAACTCCAAAGTACAGGAGATCACACCCACAGCTGGGTGTTGCTTGGGTACACTGGGACAGGATAGAAACACTCCAGATATACACCTGATGTGTGGTTTGCCAGCACCCACCCAGTGCCCCACAGGTTGCAGCAGGGACCACACTGGCTTTGACTCCCATCACCCAGCTCCAGACAGACACTGCACATGTAACAGCAGCTGCTCACAGCCCCTCCAAAGAGAAGAATTACCTATTTGGGGGTGAGATCCACCTGAGCCCCCACAGGGAGATGGGGTGACTTGGACCCTCTAGCTCAGAGGAGCAGCTCGGATGGAGGTGCTGGAGAACCCCACACCGGATCCACGGTGGGACAACCTGGGTCCTACCAAGTGAGCTGCAAATGGGAATCTTCAGGATGGAGTTTGTCCTGCCTGGGGAGCAGCCACAGCCACGCTCCAGCCTGGTACCTGCCAATGCAGCAGCAGGTTATTCCTTTCAACATAACATTTATCCTCATATTCTAAGTGTTTGGACATTGCCCCTCTCAGCAGTGCCCTCTCACAGAGCTCCCAGCACAGCCATTCACACTGAGCTGGTGGCCAAGATAAAAAAAACTCTCTCATCATCCTTACTGGAAATATATGCTATGCTGGATGCTGCTTGAAAAACACCAAGTGCTGAGCTTTCGTCTTCTCCCAGCTTATGAAATACTTGGTTTGGTCCTAAGTATCTTGCTAAAGGACTAGGGAGGGAATAGCACAGTATTCCCCAGGCACTGGGTAAATCCTCAATGGATTTATTGTAGAGCTGAATTCTCTCCCTCCCTCCCTCCAAATAGATTTCAGAGCCCTCTAAAACCCTCCAGAGAATGAGCTGTTTGTCACAGGACAAACAAAAAACAACCCCAAGTTCAATGGTCTCGTGTTGTGCAGGGAGCACCCGAAACAGAACATAAACCCAAACTAAGGGGATGTGTCAGTCCCACCTCCCGAAGCCAGATTTGATCGTGGCATGAAGGAGCCTGGGCCCAAGTGCATCTGCCTGGCCTGAACCCTGCCACAGGCCTGAAGAGGAACCATGAACACTCAACATACATGTTGGGGTGTGTGCACACGTGTGTGCTGAGGGACAACCCGTACTCTGCTCCTCCTCTCACATGAGCTATGACAAGTGACACGGTGGGTTCTGCTCTCAGCCATTTGGTTTCACCAGATCTAAGTTCCCTCTGCACAGGTAACAGCATTGACTTAGAGTTCTCATATTAATGGGTACTTATACAGGATTAATTGCACATCAGTCCATTGTGGCTACAAGTTCATTAGGCTAATGAATCTACATAGTGACAGTAGTACAGTATCAGCTACGTTTCAATACAAACTCCCTAGCCTAGCCTTAATCTGTAGGTCAAAAGAAGATCTTCCACCACCATGATCTTCCTACAACCTTTAACATTCATTTTCAAAGTTATTTTTCTAGAAAACAAACAAAATCCAGTGTGGGGAAAACGCACATATAGAACAAAAGCAGTGCTTAACAACCACAGGAAAAAAGAACATCAGCTTGGACTCTGGGATCAGCATCCTCTATACACCCTGGCAGTGCTACTTCCAAAGGGTTGCTAAATGCTCCGTCAGTTCTCAAGTCCATAAAAGCATTTCCTAGCTCTAGACGTTTCTAGTCTCTCACTATACATATTGTCTGTAGCAAGAGCATGCAGAAACACTTGCTAATGTGCACAAGACTTCCATTTGATTTAATGGAATAGTTTTAGAAGACTTGTAGAAATCTGCTTGTGAGTGGTAGCGCTCTCACCAACTGGCAGCTTCTGTTCCACCCAGGAGAGAGCTTCGAGTCCCTCAAGGTTTTACTCATCTGTTTTGCCCAAAGGTGTGTGGGTATCCAAGAAACCCCCTCTCACAGTATTCCCAGGAAATGATTCAGAAGAGGAGATGATTTTTCAACCAAATGAGATCCTCTGGTCTTGCATGTCAGACCATGGCCAATAGAATGAGCAGCTGCCATGGACGTCTCAACTTAAATACGGTACAGTCAAGGGAGGAGAGCAAGGTGGCCTGACCATCTTCTGTGAGGTACAGGCAGAGAGGCACCAAAGTCACTCTGTTCTCAACAGTTTGTCTCTTTTTCCTGGAGTCAAATGTTTGATTCCATTTGTTCTAGCAGGAAGTGGTGAATCATGTCAAAAGTGGGACGATCTTTTATATCCCTGCTCCAACATTTCAACATCAGGTCAAACACGGGGTTAGGGCACAGAGGAGTCTGGGAGAGATAGATCTGAAAGGAAGAAAGGTACAGCTGTTTCACTGGGTTTCCGTATGAGTTGAACCTTTACTAATGAACACTGAGAGGACAGGTTCACAAGACACAGCCATCATGCAATGCTTGAAATCCATTAAGCATGAACCTGGCAGCGGAGTCTGGATGGAGCTTTGATGCCATCTCAAATGGCACTGCAGACACTTTGCCAAATGGTTTGATGAGCTGGTCACAAAACAGTCCTTTGTCCCCCAGGAAATACGAATGCTTCAGAGGGATTTGTCTTCCAAGTGACAGCAACACACAAACCAAACCCAAATTTACCACAGTAAAATCCAAATACTTCCACTCACCGTAGACAACCCATGAGGCTTTCTAAGCATCGTGACAGCTTGTTAGCAGAGAGAAAAAACACCTTTTAGAGCTTATCTAAAGCACAGCCTGGCAGAACTGGTTTTTCCCCCCCTCTCATTTCAATACACATCTTTAAAGCTCTTTACTAAATCACAGGTATTCAGGAGGGAGGGAATAAAACCTCCCATTATTTTATTCCCCTTAATTTCCTTAACTTGACTGGTGCTAAAGGTGAATTTTGGGAAAGCAGCAAACTGTGCTGAACCTGCACTCCACTTTTTTGGGCGCAGTGATGCTCAGTACTGAGGGACTGTCCTGCATCATCACTGGTACCTATTGAAGGCAGTGGAGCAGACAGTCCTGCCTGGGATTTGGTCAGAGAGGACAGAATGATATAGACAAGCCCTTCAAGTAGAGATGACCAAAGGCTTCTTGGCATATATGGAGATACTCCAAAGAGTATCTAATCCCTGAAAACTAACAACTCCTCTTTCCCCAACTCAGTAAGTGCTTCCTGGTCTTTCACAGAGAATGCTAGCAGGAGAGAGATCTGACAGAGGAAAAGAGCACAAGGATGGTGTAGGAGAGCCCAGGGTAGTCTCAGATAGAATTGGCTTATAATAAGGGAGAAGCACTGGACAGGGCCAAGAGATTCTTCCAGTGGGACTCCAGGATAGGAAAGCTGGTGCAATAAGCCTAGATAAAGGGGAAGAGAGGAGGGGACACACTGAGAAGGTGAGTAATAGAAGCAGAGTCCTGCAGATGACCTAAGGCCAGCAGCAAGGCCCTGGGGGATCCACCAGGATGTGACGAGGACAAGTGAAGGAGGGAGAGGTCATGTCTGCTGTCTTACCTGCCTGCCCTGGCTCCGGAAGAACTCTCCTGTGTTCTCAATGACTTGCTCATCCGAGAGGAGGCTGTAAGGTTGCTCCTTACACAGTATGAACATCTCCCAGAGGGTGACCCCAAAGGCCCAGACATCACTGGCTGTGGTGAACTTGCCCTGTGAATGAAAGAATGTTGTTAGCCCGGGTTGCTCACAGAGCACATTCAGCAGAACCCGTTCCAGTCTACACCCTCTGCAGCTAGACACAAGGATGCAGAACTCATTCCTGGGAAGATGCTCTGAAGAGACAGCAGAGCAGGTGACCTGCTCCCAGCAGAGCACAAAGGGACTGAGGTATGACATGGCTGCTTTGTGGGACAGCAGCAGCGTGTCTGTGGGACCGACAGGAAACATCCAGGACCCAGATTGCCCAGGCTTATCTGGCTACCCTAGCAGTGTGTCAGCGTTTGGAAGATGCTCACACAGGGAATATGAGTGATTTATGGTTTAGATGCAGCTATAACCAGAAAAATAGGGTGAATTTAGAAAAGCTTAAGCCTATCGGCCTTTATAGAACAGGTAATTGCAGTTGTTCTAGGTACTCAGAGCATGTGGTAAGAAAATAGAACCAGGTGATCTCACCAACTGGTTTGAGAAAGAAATATTGGGCTGAACATTAAGGACCTGCCTCCACACTGGATGTGTTTGTGCTGTTGAACGCTCTCCTGAGAGGAAGACAGCAAGACCCTTAAGCAGGAAACAAAACCCCAACCTCGAAACCTGACTTGGTACTTGAAACTCATGAAGTTTTGTGCATGCCCCTTTCAGCTTCCCAGCTGGGGAAATAAGCACAGAAAGGCAACAACTTCCTTACACTTCCAGCAGGAACCCTGAATGACAGGCACAGAACAGAAATTAGGCCCCAGATGAGGGCTGATGCCATCCAGAGGGACCTGGACAGGCTCAAGAAATGGGCCTGTGTGAACCTCAACAAGGTTGAAGTTCAAGGTCTTACAGCTGGATTGGGGCAACCACTGGTATCAGTCCAGGCTGGGGGATGAAGAGATTGAGAGCAGCCCTGCCAAGAGGGACCAGGGGCTGCTGGTGGATGAAAAAATGGACATGACCCAGCAGTGTGGGCTTGCAGGCGGTGAAACACTGGCACAGGTTGCCCAGAGAGATGGCAGATGCCCCATCCCTGGCAATATTCAAGGCCAGGTTGGACAGGGCTCTGAGCAATATGATCTAGTTGAAGATGTGCCTGCTCATTGCAGGGATTTGGACTAGATGAGCTTTGAAGAGCCCTTCAAACCCAAACTATTCTGTAATCTGTGCTGTATTTGCAAGGGCATGCTCCTTTCCCAGGATATGAATTATGTCCAAAGCAACTCAACAGACTTCTCACCTGGGGCCATCTGTAGCACACATTTTGATGCTATAAGGATCTTTAGACATGCATGTGTTGCTGTTTCAGGGGCACAGTGAAAATCAGAGGAAGGGAGAATGGTTTTGTGCAGTCCCTACCAGGAGGATGCTTTCCCAGGCCATCCAACGGATGGGCAGTACAGCTCTTCCCTGGATACGGTAGTAATCCCCACTGTAGAGATTCCTGCTCATGCCAAAGTCTGCAATCTTGATGGTGTAGTTGTTCCCCACCAGACAGTTGCGAGTTGCCAGGTCTCTGTGCACAAAATTCAGAGATGCCAGATACTTCATTCCAGAGGCAATCTGCGTGGCCATGTACAGCAGGTTGGAGTAGCTGCAGTGAAAGAAAACATAAAGAACAGTCAGTATTGTTGCCCACACTCAACTCTTTCTTCCATCTGCTGAGTTACAGTGACCTGCTGGTTTAGTTTTTGCTGTGTCAGTTAAACTCAACTGTCTAGTTTCAGGCACTAAATCCCTCGCCTGCCAGGCTAAGCCCAGCTCTTGAGCTGCCTAAGCAAGAACAGACAAGCTGTCCCTGAAATTCAGGGCCCTTGGAATTTCACATCCTTTAGAGTTTTTAATATCAAGTGTTAAACTCAAGATGTTCAAAGAGTTTATGCAAAGCCAAGTTTCTGCAGAGAGACATGGAAAATTAAGGTGTAAAATCTCAGAATCTCCTATCTTAGAAACTGCTTAGCCTGGTATTTCACACACTGCCACTGTGGCATGCTTACATTAATATAAGCATGTCACAATATTAAAGAGACCTTGGGTTTTAGTATGTTTAATATTACTGAAAATATAAACAGATGCATTTTCCATCTAATATAATTTTAATTCCCTCATTAGCAAAATGAAAATAATACCAATAAAGTTGCAGGACGCACAGACAGGGTATGGACCATCTGCCTTTCAGCATTCCACACAGTTATTTTGTGATGTTTCCCACTGTGGGTTGCCCAAATGCTGCACAGAACCAAGCATTTCTCACAACAAATCTGATAAGAGTGTTCACAGTTGGTATTTCTCTTATAAAAGTCAGAAAAAGACAGTCTTTGCCTCCTTCTCTTCATGCTCTGCTGGCAGTGAGAGAAGCAGTAACATGCTGTTACATAGGAATTACAACGATGTAATGCATCTAATGCATTACAAACGTATCTATGCTAATGAACAGCTAAGCTATCACTACAGCCTCTAATGATAACTGATCCAATCAATCTATCCTCATCAATAGCTAAGTTTTCACTACAGTGATTCAGAGGCAGCTCCTCACCCTGGCAGAGCACTGGCAGGAGGCTCTGGGCACCACTCCCCTCCCAGCCTTTCAGCACAGTGACCAGCACACTCAGCTAGGTGACACCTGCCCAGTCTCACAGTCAGCTCTATGCTTCTCCTGAGCTGGGTGGACCTGCTGTGCCCAAGAGAAGGAACTCTGCCACCCACTTGTACCTTGTTAACCTGGTTTCTGGCTTTCCGCATCAAAGCGAGCGGAGCCTCCAAGATCCTACGTCTTCCCTTCCCCTGCTCTGCTGCAGTTGTCTCCTACCTGGGGCTGTTGCTCTGCCCTTTGAAGCAGCCCAGTCCCTTCAGTCCCACCTGCACCTTCTCAGCATCCCACCAGCAGCTACCTTTTGGCTCCTCAGCAAGCTCTGCAGGGCTCGATGCGTGCAGTGCTGTATACAGAGGGGCAAGACAGGAGACGCTTCCTGGCAGAGTCATCCTCATGACTTGTTAGACAGCCAGAGAGATAGTAGGAGATGCATTTCAAATACCAAACAGCCATAACGACTTAGAAATGTGTCACTTCTCTGCACGAAAGTGTTCAAGTATTAAGTGTTCAAGGCCAGGTTGGACAAGGCTTGGAGCAACCTGCTCTAGTGGAAGGTGTCCCTGCCTGTGGCAGGGGTTGGGACTGGAGAAGCTTTAAGGTCCCTTCCAACACAAACCAGTCTGGGATTCTATGAAAGGGCTGTTTACCACATTCAGTACACCAAATACTGGGCCTGAGACACACATGGGATGGTTGGACCTTGCCACATCAAACACCCGCAGGCACCAGCAGAGACAGGCTGTCCTCTACGGCAGGCGGATTCATTTCACCCTCAGTAAACAACTATACAGATAATCTGAGCTGGTCATACCAGCTTCCTTTAATGTGAAACTCTACCTGTCTGGAAGGAACAAGAGGAGAGGCTGAAGGATCTGCTGGATTGAAAGAAAAACTAGAACTGCCAGATGGAAACCAAGGAAGTGTAATGTGAGTGACAGTGCTCAAGTCAGATGAGAGGTGAGAAGCAGATACAGAAGAAAAGCCTGAGACTTTGGTCAGGAAAAAAAGCCACAAGTCTAAAGGTGAAAGCTGTTTCAGATGTGCAGGAAGGACAGGAGACTGGAGAAACCTGCAGTACTTTTGTACTCAGATACAAATCCTTTCCCAAACTACAGTTCCTGGTGTGTGATGACTGCAGGATGCCAGTTTAACACTCCACAACAGGACTGACCACTGCCAGCTACTGGCAGAAACACTGGTGTTGTCTTGACCTGGTAAGACCCAGCCACTTCCTGGTCCAGTCCAACAGGACTGGCTCTGCCCAGCTGCCTAGTCCTTCAACTATAATTAATCTTTGGGGAAGTCCATGACAAAGGCTAAGCAATGCACCAGCTTCCAATTAGGGAAGGTTTCTTTATCAAGGAGAATACGTAAGTCCTCCACACAACTCTCCTCTGAGGAAAGGATTTCTGCAATAGTAGAGTTGCTTTTATGTTAGATTTAATCCTGCCATAGAGGAAGAAGAAAAGTGTCACCACTGACAAAATGGTTTGTCAAATATTCTCCTCCTGCTGGCTGATGAAATCCTTCCTTAGTGAAACTCTGCACTCAACTTCCCTCATGTAGTATTTTTGAGACATCCAGAGAACATAGGAACCTTCTTAAAAGCCCAAGAAACATTCCCAATTTTCTTGTTGTAATGCAAGCCCACCAACATAAACAGATGGTCACATCAGCAAACAATACATCTAAGATGGCTACTGTGACCAGAATAGCCCAGTCAGGGACATCTCATGGAACACAGACCTCCAGAGACCTCAAGAACAATGTCCCAAGCAAAACAGGACTCGTGCGTACAGTGTGTGCTGTGGCAAGGGCTGGGCTGGAGGCAAGTCATTGCCTGGAAGGCACAACAAATGAAACGGATAGCTCTGTATAGTTGATTTGTCCCAAAGATGGGCAGTTCTTCTTACCTGACACAGGGAATGTTGTTTGAAATGGCAAATTTGCTGTAGATCTCCCTCTGTGACAGGAACTGATTGAGGTCTCCGTTTTCCATGTACTCTGTTATCATGCACAGGGGGTCATCACGCACACACACCCCCAGGAGCCGGATGATATTTGGGTTCTTCAGTCGTGACATGATCTTGATCTCCTTCAGGAAATCATTTCTTGTAAAACAGAAAACACAGGTTTGAATCCTAAACTATTCCTTTGTCTCAGGAAAGCAGAAGTGGTGTGGAAGAACATCTCATTTACATTTCTGCCCACAGCAAGTTAGAAAGCTGGTTCTGTGCTTGTGTTCAACACTGACCCCTTCCACAGCAAACAGGATTAATATAGCATTTCAGTTTGACATCACACCTATTCCTATCCCCCACTCCCTGCTTTTGCCCTGTTCCTTACATGAACACACACCAGAGACACATGACACTCTCGTACAGGTGTCACCAGGGTTAACCTATGTGACACTAGTGCTCGGGGAGTATTTGCTTTCCTTCCCAGATGGTTGGCACTGTGGATGTGCTCACCTGGCTGTTTTGTTGACATCTGATCTCAGCATTTTCACTGCCACAAGAACAGGCTGGTGAGTGAATTCTGTAGAGGAGACTCCCAGGAATTCCAGCAGGCCATCGGCTTCACAAAGGTGCACCTAAGGGGCAGAGGCAGCTATGAGAGTGTGCACAGGCAGAAAGCCAGAGGAAAACAAGCACACAATCATAAAATCAACCAAGTTGGAAAAGGTCTTCAAGATCATCAAGTCCAACCATTCCCAGCACTGCCAAGGCCACCACTTGTCACCTCATGTCACTTAGGGCCTCGTCTACACGGTGTGTGAACACTTGCAGGGACGGTCACTCCAGCACTGCCCTGGGCAGCCTGTTCCAATGCCTGAGCACCCTCTGGGCAAGGAATTGTTCCTCAGCTCCATCTAAACCTCCCCTGGTGCAGCTTGAGGCCATTTCCTCTTGTCCCATCCCTTGTTCCTTGGGAGCAGAAACCAGCCCCCTCCTGGCTCCATCCTCCTGTCAGGCAGTTGGAGAGAGCGATAAGGTCCCCCCTGAGCCTTCTCTTCTCCACACGAAAACCCCAGGTCCCTCAGCCCTTCCTCATCACACTTGTGCTCCAGGCCCTGCACCAGCTCCGGTGCCCTTCTCTGGCCCCGCTGCCAGCACCTCAATGTCTCTCTTGTAGTGAGGGGCCCAGAACTGGGCACAGGATTTGAGGTGCAGCCTCACCAGTGCCAATGTCACACTGAGGTCACCAGTTTGGTCACCACTGGCAGAATGACCAAGTGAATGATCTAATGAAGGTGACACTGTTCTGATCAGAAATAGCCCATAGGTTAGTCCTAGATCCTGGACAAAACGTGTACATCCACTCCACAGCCATGACACAGGACACACATGGACTGCAGCCTGAAGTGTCCCCAGTGCTCTGAAGTGACTGCATGTGTGCAGACTATTGCAGTAGAGTACTGGGGCGCTCCAGTTCACCCAGGAAGTACTGGAGATGCTCAGAAAGGCCTGGAGGTGTCTGCTTTACTCTGCATGTGCATCCAAACAGCATGGCTGCAGCACGTTTGGCATGTACAGCACATCACACCAGCCATGCAAGTCCAGAACTGTCCTGAGGCCTGGCTTGAGTCACTGCTTTAACTTAACTGAGGAGCATCCAGGAAGTACAGACAGCTTTCCTAAGTCCTCTGCTTCCAGAAGGAAAAAGAAAAGGGAAGAAAGTGTGAGCATGTGTATGTGGTGTGAACACCTCATCTGGGAATATACCCAGAGATGAATTCTCTCAGTACACAGAATTCCAAGTTTCATAGGATCATAGAATGGTTTGTGTTGGAAGGGACCCTATACATCATCTAGTTCCAACCCCCTTTCCATCTTCAGATAAATAAATGAAGACATACAATTACTGCCAGGGCTGTATTAAAAGGGTTGACAAGACACTGGTTAAGAAGTTATCGTAATGCATATTCAAATGCAGAACTGGGCAACAGATGCTGGAGGAGAGGAGCAGACCAGATGTGTCAGTGTAAGACTTGCAGCAGTGAGGGGAATATAATGGGAGCTTAATGAATTTGATAAGAAGAAAGCAGCAAGAGCTTGTGACAAGCATGGTGAGCAGAGGGAGACAGCACAGAAAATGGGACAAATCAACGAACAGAAACAAAGGTGCTGCTGCAGTTACATGGAGAATGAAACCTGCTGCGGTGAGAGCACAGACACAAGAGCAGGAGTAGGAAACAGTCACAGCACAAAGCACATGTGTGACAAGTGCAGGTGATGTGTCACCAAGTCAGGGAGTGGACGGTCAGGAGCAAGGAATTAAAAAGACTGAAGGGGAAGGAAGCTCTGATGGAGAGGTGGAAAAAGCAGTGAGCTATGGTTCTAGAAGCAAGACCACACACTTAACCAGGAGTGGAACAGAGCATATGGTTATGGCCAGTTTGGTAAAGACTAAGATGGTGAGAAGGAGAGACGGGAGAACGTGATGCAGCACATCTGCCAAAGTGAGGGAAAGATGATGGAAAGAAGAGGCTCTGAATCCTGACAGTTACTAAAAGGACAGGAATGAGAGGGAAGGAGAAACCAGAAGCAAAACAATGAGTTAAAACTTGAGGAAAAACAATTATTTAAGTGAGAAAAGTCTCTGCTTCACTTCTGGAGCACAGCCCAAAGCAGGGCAGGATCCAGGCGCAGCAGAAGGGGCTACACTGACAGCCAGGTCAAGAGGCTGAGGATGTCAGCACCTTCCCAACACATGGAGTGACCCAGAAAGAAGTGAGGGGGACAGGGAAGGGGCTGCAGTAGGGAAGGTGCCCTGTCAGAAGGGAGGAATTATAAAGATTGGCACATCACAGAGGAGGAAGCAGACAGTAAAGGGCTGTGCTTTGACAAAATGTAGTAGACAGGTAGAATTTAAGGCTGCAAATGAGCAAAAACTGGGAAGGAAAAAAGACAGTGGAAAAGAAGGAGCAGGAGAGGGGAAGACCTGCTCAGTATGAAACTAGGGCTAGAGAGGAAGCAGGGAGAAAAGGCAAGGTGAAAGCATTCACAGCTTGAAAGGAGCTCAAGGAGTAAAGAGAAAGCTTGGCAGATGACAGAGGCATGTATCATGCTGCCTGAGGCTTCTGACACAAACTGGGGCTTGACTGCAGCAGTGCTACAGGATATGTGAGGGCATCACATGCTTGGGAAACATCTCTCTTGGGTCAGTGTGCAGAGCCCCACCAGAACCTCCATCGGTTAATGGGAAAGCTGTTTCTACAGCTCCTGACCAGAGCCACTGCTGGAGCTTTCAAACAGGCATGCCTGAAGGTGCGTGACAGCCATCACACACTTGATATGTCCATGGAAGAGCATGAAACAGTTTAAATTCCCACCCCAGGCCTTTTCTGTAAGGTCATAAGTAGGGATAAAGACAGCAAAGTTCACCAGTTGAGAAAGACTCATGTGGTACCAAGCAGCAGCCTCCCAGGTGCAGGATGGGGCTCACTGAAGCCTATCCTGAGGGACACCAGCTATCCCCAACAGCAAAGACATTTTGAACCAAATACTGGTATGCAGCATGGCCCCCAGGTATGGAGCAGTGCAGAGACTCCACTCTACCAGGAATCTCCTTTCTGGAACAGTGGAAGTGCTGTACCTCTCCAAACTGCCCTTCTCCCAGCTTCTCCTTGAGCCGTAGCTGCTGCCTTGGGAATTCACCCACGGAGATGTCCTTCTTGGTGAGGGAGTCCACGGTGAGGGCAGGCACCGCGTACATGTTGTTGCCAGTTACACCCTGCAGATGGACAATATCCGTCTCGGCATAGTGAGGAACGCTGTTCTGAAAGCCTTGGTGAGGAGTAGACTTGGTCAGGTCGGGCTCAGCATAGTCCCCACTGCACACTAAGGGCAAACCAAGGAGAGGTGGGGTCAGACACATTCACTCCCTTAAAACCAAGCCTGGTCTGGCTCCTGCTCCCCTTGATCCTGCAGAGCTCTGGGAACCCAGCCTAGCTGCGTGCCTACTGCTTTGTACCAGGGTACACCCAGATGGAAGACTCCACTTGAACTAGGGCTTAACCCAGAACAAGCTGCACTTCCGCAGACACCACAATACCTGGGAGTGCCAGTGAATCCATATTAACAGCTGCCTGCTCTATCCAGTCATGGGAGCTTAAGCTCTGGCCCAGGCATGGAGGCATGAGTCTGAAGTGAATTCCTGCTTTTGATTCATCCTAAATATGGTATCTGTTCCCTTTACCTGATGTCTGCAATGACAAACTTGCTTTGGTTTCCCCTCTGCAATAAGAATTGATTGAGGTTTCTGTTTTCCATGTAGTTTTAGCATGCTAGACTACCTCTCAGAGCTTATTCATATAAGTATCACGGGATAACTTTATAAGTAACTCCCTGTATGGCCAGTATCACAGAGACATTTGTTCTGATTCAAATTCACATCCTGACTCAATCCAATCAGTCTCCCTGTGTACTATAATACTGGATCTTAGCAACTTGTCAGTCTTGAGGAATGCAGCACTGCCCTTCCATTCACTCAAAAGAACTGCCATCAGAGTACAAAACACTGCTGGAAACATTCCCTGTGCATCCAAAAGCTGCCCAGGGGCTGCAAGCCAGGGCACCACTGACAACTCTGCTGCATTTCCCTCTGCTTTTCCCAGGGGAATGTCAGAGAGCCCTTGCTGCAGGAAGAGGTGCTAAAGGCCTCCCCCAGCTAGTCTGGACAGCCCAGGATTGCTGCAGGCAGTGACTCCACTGCCAGGGGGTTGATGAGACAAACAATGTGCCTTGGCCAAAACCAGGCCGTAGAAGATGAGCTAGCTAATGTATTCACACAGTCTTCAGAGAGAACAAGAAGCCACCACCCTCTAGTGGGGCTGGTGCTCCATCTGCCAAAGGTACATGCTAAGAAGTTGCTCAGCTCCAGAATATTGTCTTCAGTCCCTGGTTTAGTATTTTATTGCATAGGAGTCAGAGAAGATTACTCAGACACACAAGAAGTGGTATATTTTAGAGCCTGAGAGAAATAATAAACAAAGAAACATGTAACTTTTGGAGACTGATGATTACATTACCTGAATCCTCTGCACTTTGAGAGAGCTCTGGAAGCTTTTGGAGCAGCGTAGCTGGCTGGTGATATTCCAAATCCAGTGGGAAAGCACGTTCATAAGTGGGATTTGACTGGTGGATCTGGGTCTGGTTGTTGGCAATGGTGTAGCTGTAGAAGGAAAGGCGAACTGTGGCATCCTCCTCCAGGATTCGACGTGGGGCCTGCAAAAGAGAGAGGAAAAAAGCTGAAGTGATGCTTAGTTGTTAAGTAATGTGTTGGCTGCAACCACAGCAGCTTCCAGTAACATCTTGGATAGGGCTGGCATCCTCCGTGCTGTGAGAACAGTTTTAGCTGCTCTGTGGAACTGGGGAAATCCTGGACTTTCCACATAAGTCTGAGCACATCAGGGTTAATGCTTAGTACTGCACTTGTGCCTGCAAAACAGCCCCATTGTATTACCTTTTCCAACCTTTTCTGAACATATTGCTTCCAAAGAATAATGATTATAATCATTAGGAGCAGAAGAATAATAGCCACAAGGCAGCCCACAAGGATGGAGGTGCTGGAGTCATCTGCTTTCTCTCCTATCCAGGTACTGGTCACAGAAGATGTGGTTTCTGCAATCACAGAGATATGAAGAAGAATTTGGAGTTAACAAAATGCAGTCTGTGCTGGCTAACTTGCTACATGTCCCCTCCTACACACTGGTACAGGAAGGATCTTAGGCAGCTCCCTGAGTATTAACATCAGCTGTGTTCACATTTTGCTCTTATCAGAAACTCTCTTTTTGGAGGCTCACAGCTAGGAGCTGTGCAGAGGACTTCTGCAGTCAAAGACTCTTCTTTGGAAGAGATTCCTGCAATGGATCCATATTAGAGCAGACAGTTGTCAAGAGTTTCACTGGCTGCACATGTGCTCCATTGCTCTGAGGCAGCCTCAGCCAGCTGAGGGAAAAAGAAATAGCTGGGGCTTAAAGGGCTGTAAGATGCAGCCCCATGCACAAGGGCAATAACCATAACCAGAGCTCCAGAAACAGAGAGAGACTCCACATTAAGTAGGCTGCTGCTGTGAAATGCCCCAGCATGAGCCCTTGCCATGGCAGGTGACAAGTCCTTACCCCAGGTCCCCTCAGTAACATTGTGCTCCGTTTCCAGCAGATCTGTTGTGCTTGTGGCAACTGTAACGAAGTTCGGATTCACACTCTCCATGTCTGTGGAAGGGAAGGAAGGTGTCAGTCCAACCACCAGCCTCCCTGCTCCTGCCAGTGATCAGTGCAATCCCAGCCATCCCTGCCTTCCCCAACAGGACAGGGCTGAGACCCACACAGCAGGTACCTGCTCCCTCAGCACTTCCCACACATCTGCAGCATTGACTTTCTGTCCTGACCACAGCAAACCACCAGCATCTGCAGGATGCTCCCCTGAGCTTCACCAGGCACAGGGACTGGAGCAAGAGCTTTCCTTCCCATTTTAGCTTGAGTGAGTTCAGAGAAGGCCACAAAAATGATCAGAGTTAGAGCACCTCTCTTATGGAGACAGGCTGAGAGACCTGGGCTTGTTCAGCCTGGAGAAGAGAAGGCTCCTGAAGAAGACACCTCAGAGCACCTCCCAGTGCCTAAAGGGGCTACAAGAAACCTGGAGAGGGGCTTTGGACAAGGAATGTAGGGACAGGACAAGGGGAATGGCTTTAACCTGCCAGAGGGGAGATTGAGATGAGCTCTGAGGCAGAAGCTCTTCCCTGGGAGGGGGCTGCGGCGCTGGCAAAGGGTGCCCAGAGAAGCTGTGGCTGCCCCATCCCTGGCAGTGTTCAAGGCCAGGTTGGACACAGGGGCTTGGAGCAACCGGCTCTAGTGGAAGGTGTCCCTGCCCGTGGCAGGGGTTGGAGCTGGAGGAGCTTTAAGGTCCCTTCCAACACAAGCAAGACTGGGATTATATGAAGGGGTCCCTTCCTGTGGCAGGGGCTTGGAAATGGATGAGCATTAAGGTTCTTTCCAACCCAAATTGGGGTTGGTTTCTATGATTATAAGAATCACCAACCCAGGCTAGACGAAGCATCTGCCTAGTCCCACATGTGACAGAGGGTAGCGAGGGGTTTTATCAGCAAGATAAGCAACAAGCTGCTATCAGAGCCTTCCTTCCACAGCCATGTCCTCTCACTAGAGCTGACTAGGGACCCTCAAGTAGGAAGCTACACACAGATCATTTCACTGTCAGTGCTGGCAGCTTTCTCTAAGACTCTCGTCCTTTCCAAAAAGCAAAGCACCTCGCAGCACTGACTCCCACATCACAGTTAAGACTTGAGGAAAAAAAAGTGCCAGCCTCTTATTTTGCATAATCTGCTAAATGGACATAATGTGTACATATATAGACAGACAGATATAGATAAGGATGTAAATTATTCATAACAAAATACTTGGTAAAGAGAAGTACAAATCAACCCTACAACCAGTGGGCAGCTGCCTTAAGAAATGCTCTATAGTCCAGTTTTTGGTTGCCTTGGTTGTGCTTCTGCACACGTGCACAGAATCAGCCTGAAAAGCATCCACTATAGAGTGGACCTTTAGGCCCCTGCACTGCCCTTGCAACTCTTTCAGTGCTTCTACTACCTCCTTCTTCCCACCACATAACCCCACAGTGCCTACACTCACTTAACCCCACACATCCTGCACCTCCACACCATCTCCCTTGCTCTCTGTGCTTCCAGATGTGCTTGACAAAGGGACACTCACCTGACTGGAAGGAGATCTCGCTCATCATCATCCAGGAGTCAGCAAAGTGGAAGCGGCAGAGGATGGCTTTACCCACGCGCTGGCTGAGGGGCACAGTCACAAACCTGGCACTGGGGTTTTTGTCATCCAGGACAGTTGCCACCCCGACAGGCTCAGGCTCCCAGTCTGCAATCAGGCGTGGTTTGAACAGACACTCCACCTTCTGGAAGATCTTTACCCCCTTGGAAAACATGTTGTTGCAATGCACCTAGGAAGGAGAGAACTGATCAGATGGGAGGAAGATCCACTGAAACCTAAAAATCAAGCCTCAGGGATTTTTCCATTCATGAAGCTTATCTAGTTCTAATACCTCCCTGTAGGAATACTCCTAACCCACAATTAGGGACTTGTTCAGTATAGCTCCAGCCACTTGTAGTGTGCAATGAGAACATAGGTGCAAAATGTTACTCTGAAATAGCTCTGAACTTTACATGCAGAAGCTACCTTAAGGGTCAAAATTTGTCAGCCTCTTCAAAAGGCACATATTGAAAAAATAAAGAAAAAAAATAAAAATCAAGCCCTGTGCTAATCTAAAGCCTCACAGAGCAATTCTTCTTAAATGTATACCCTAAAAGGGGAAAGAAAAGCTACATCTCTAGCCTCAAGAAAGCCTTCAGCATCTGCAGTCTAAGCTAATTAAAGAGAGGTACAAGCACAACAAGATACTCCTGTGCCATAGAGCAGCTCTAGTGCTGTGGCTGCACCTTAAACACAACTGAGGGTCTATGTTTTAAGATAACCATCACACAAGCCTGCATCCATTAGCCTCTCCTGGTGGCTCATCATCAGGTTGTCCCTACTGCAATAGCAACACTGGAATTTAAGCTGCCATCACTATTCTGCCAAGCTAACATCTGCCTAAAACCAAGGCACATAACTCTCACCCCCAAGTTACAGCTCAACACAGTTCACTTTCATACTAAGCAGTTCACAAACTGCCTTCAGGCTGACCTCACACCTTCATACCTGGGAGGTTTATTTTACCCTCCCAGGAGCCAGCAGTAACTTTCTCCCTTCCTGCTCTTGGACTGCACCTGCATCAAGAGGCTCCAGCATAAAAGTGACATCTCCCTCTTCCTGTGTTGTGGCATTGGAGACCCATCAACACCAAACTCCTGGCACTTTCCAGGGTGTCCAACACTTCCAAGGAAGCAGACTGGGCAAAGAGGGACAATGCTTGTAAGGATCCTTTATGCTGTTTCACTGTCTGTATACAAAGCAAATCTGGCCCTTTTCAAACAAAGGCAGAATCACAAAGTAGTCTGGGTTGGAAGGGACCTTAAAGCTCATTCAGTTCCAACCCCCTGCCACAGCCAGGGACACCTTCCACTAGAGCAGGTTGCTCCAAGCCCCTGTGTCCAACCTGGCCTTGAACACTGCCAGGGATGGGGCAGCCACAGCTTCTCTGGGCACCCTGTGCCAGCGCCTCAGCACCCTCCCAGGGAAGAGCTTCTGCCTCAGAGCTCATCTCAATCTCCCCTCTGGCAGGTTAAAGCCATTGCCCTTGTCCTGTCCCTACATCCCTTGCCCAAAGCCCCTCTCCAGGTTTCCTGGAGCCCCTTTAGGCACCGGAGCTGCTCTTAAGGTCTCCCCTTAAGGAGCCTTCTCTTCTCCACACTGAACCAGCTCAGCTCTCTCAGTTCTGCCAGCCAGTCCTGATTTTCTGGACTCCAGTTTTTTGGCACTTGTGTCCAGTGACCAGGAAAGGAAGGAATAATGTGATCCTTAGTCTTAAGTCCCCCTCAGTCTACTCCATTTCATAGCCATGGTGGCCTGATCCTCCCCAGCAACTCTAGGAATTATTTCCTAATGACTGTGGGGTATTAGCAACAGTGACAACAACAGCTTCCAAACTCAGTGCAGCTTTGAACCCCATTAATTGCTTGGCCTCTGCGAGGTCCTGCAGTGAATAGCAGTGAACAGTAATGAGGACAGCAGGCCTGATGAGCAGGAAAAAGACAAAAGAAGGGTATTTGCATGTAATTAGGAACAGATGAATCTCAGACAACGTTATTCAATAGGGAGAAATAGTCATCCATAACAAGGCAGGAAAGCCTGACGCCTGCAATATAGAATTTGTGCCATATTTGGACAGGAGCTGGATATGTTCATGTCTTGGACTGATACAGAGACACTTTCTATTCCAACCACCACCTACAGAAGTTCAATTTTATAATAGGCAAGCCTAAGTAATTTTCAAAGCAGCTGCAATATTTACTGACATTTACTTGTAATGCTTTCTTGGACCCTGGGGAAGTTCAGAGGACTGGGATAGAGCTAACAGGTATGAAGAGACAAAAAAGTCCTTACAAACCATGTAACCCATACAAAATACATTCAAAGCCAAAAAAGGCAACGTTCAATAGGTAATGAAGAATAGTTTATGCTAATAATACAGCTTTCTAATCAAATACTAATGTAGTAGCTGTTCTTATGAGCTGATGTGTTTGATGAGGATGGCTGTGTTTACATGATAGACTTTTGTAAGGCATTTAATTTCTTCGTAACATCCAACTCCAGTTACCAGAGTATGAACTCACGAGTTATATTAATTTGATTTAAAATTGTCAACTAAGTCTTAAAAGTTTTAAGGCACAAATTCTTCTCTAGGTGTTTTTCCAACAGGAATGTATTCCTAGCTCAAGGTTTAAGTTTAATCAGGGGAAGTTCAGGTTAGATATAAGGCAGAAGCTCTTCCCTGTGAGGGTGCTGAGGTGCTGGCACACGGTGCCCAGAGAAGCTGTGGCTGCCCCATCCCTGGCAGTGTTCAAGGCCAGGTTGGACACAGGGGCTTGGAGCAACCTGCTCTAGTGGAAGGTGTCCCTGCCCGTGGCAGGGGTTGGAGCTGGAAGAGCTTTAAGGTCTCTTCCAACACAAACCAGGCTGGGATTCATTACCATTTTCAATGATCAGAGACAGCAGAATCCACAGCAATAAAATAAATTCAATGGGGGGCAAAAAATAAATCAAAGATTCCTAAAATAATCTGAAGTTTTCAGGACTGACTTATTTCACAGTATTAAATTCGGGAACAAACTGTAAGTGATGCTTTCTACGCTGCACTTTTACGCTGGACACCAATAATTTAAACTGACTTTCAGCATGATACCAAAGCCTCAATGCACACTGGATCCCTGTCCATTGGCTAAGGAGGACTAATATGATCACAAGGTTCACAAATAGAGAAGAATCATCTAAAAGCAGGAAACTAGTACCATTCCTTTATCCAGTTTGATGGCAAGCCTGCATCCAGTTCCAGTTTCTACACCTCCAAAAGAGTACTGGCAAAGAAAGGAAGGATTGGAAGAGAGCTACAAAAATGACCTTGGATCTCACAGGGAAGGGATTGGCAAGTTCAGCCAGCTTAGTTTACTGAAGCAAAGATTAAGGTAGTGGTTTAATCTCAGTGCAGAGGCAGGGAAGTGTCTGAGAAGGCAGGACTCTTATTTTGGCCAGTGAAAGCAGGCGGAGAGCCAATGGTTGCAAGTTAAAAATAGACAAAATAAAACCAGGGTAAGTAACCACCAAAACAATTTACTTAAGGATGTGGTGGGTTCTCCTTCATTTGAAATCTCTACAAGAAAAGCCACCAATCCTTTTTAAAAGACTCTGCTGTTTACTACAGCCTCCAAAGTTCAGCTCATTCTTTTCCTGTGTGTTTAAGTCATTTCCCACAGCACAAGCACAGACTGAGGCATCCAGAGACATTTTTGGTCAAATGGAAACACAACCACATTCCTTTACCTCAAGGGTCAGGCAGCCCCTGGACAGTAGGTAGCCTACACCCTAATTCCATCTCAGCTGCCTAAGCACTGCTTCAGGTGTCTGCTTTTTATCCCTTTAAGCCAAATGCCAACAGGAGAGTGTTTGATCCCTGGAGAGGCAAGTGCTTTCCTGCTTCACCCTTCTACACTGGTGAACCTGGGACATCTCCTACTCAAACTCTGCTGCCAGGCACCTTGTATCCTCCTGCTTTGGGAAGAGGACCCGCAAGTGGCAATGTGGAAGCACCCAAACCCAAAGCTTGCCCCAGGCTGTTGGAGAGGGACCACAGTGACTACCTTCATGGAGGTGAAGTTCCGTGGCCGGTCAAACTGGAACTCCATTTCAACATAGCCCGTGCTGAAGCTCTCATTCTTCCAGCCCACGTAGTCATAGCCCGGCCACACACGGTACTGGTGGCTCTGTGTGAAGTCATCCAGGCCCAGCACCCCGTCCGTGAGCTGGCCCAGGCCGCCGTACAAGTGCCTGCCAAGAAAGAACCAAGAGTTAGGCAGGACTCCAGCCAGGAGAGCTCAGATGCGAAAGAACATGGGTCCTTCACCTGGTACCAGGAAAACTTAAGTGTATCTGCTCTTAATCCATCTTGGATAAGGCATTCCCTGTCCTTATGCAACACCTCCTTTATCTTGTTCAGGCTGGGCTGTTAAAATCTTTCCCTGCTTAGGAAAGGCAGAAGTTTTTGCATTGATCTCAAGCACTGACAGCAAAGCCAAGCTATGAGCAAAGTCTCTTGACAATAAAAACAGGCTACAGAAAATGATACTGTACACTCTCCAAACAGAGCTTTAATTGCAGCATTTCACCATGGAACTGCATGGGAGGAACTGCTCCATCCCATCCTGGGGGAACCAGTGGGGAAAGTTTTGCAGGCAGGCACAGAAAAGCAGGAAAGAGCAGGGAGACCATGGGCAGCTCACCCAACCACAGCCAGTTCTAACTGGGATCAGCTCTGGAATTGCTCCTTGTGCAGGAAGAGCCATGTTATCAACTCAGACTCTTTGCCCAGGACCCTGCCTCACTGCACTTCCTATCTGAGACTGCAGAGCTCACTATACAGTTTTCCAGCATCCAGCTGCCAGCTGTGGTTCCCTCCTGACCCACCTGGGAGCCATCCCTGCCACATCCCTCATCCTACAGCAGGGAAAGCACAGACACTTCAGCTGTGTTAGTGCTGAACTTGCTCCCTGGACCTGTTTCAGAGTCAGCTGCCTCCAGGCAGTCTGTAAGCAGGGCTGCTGCTACCGGCACTGAAGCTCTGCAAGCCCACTCCAGGTGAGCCTCCTGTCAGTAGGATCTGCACAGGTATGCATGCCTTTGAACTCCAAAACAAGATTTAAGCTGGAAGAGGCATCTCCTGCTTCCAGGCTGGTTGGACTTGAAGGCAAAGTAGTTTGGAAGAGTCCTTGCTTAGCACATCTGTAGCTCCCTGACATTCCGCAGCAGACCAGCTTCCTCAGTTAGTGTTGGACAGCAAAGAACAATACCTACATCTTCCTGCGTATAAAACCCTCTGTTTTGAAATATCCAATCCCTACTAATATCTAAAAGCATCAGATATTAAAACAAAGACATTGTCACTCAGGACCTTGCAACATCCTAAAAGGACAAGGAATGTACCCTGTTATTTTAACCTCCAGCATGATAGAACACAGGTAAGCTTAGAAAAATCACCTCTAAGCATAAAAATTCTTTAGGCAACAGTAAAGTATTTCAGGAAGTTATTGACAACTGAACAGGAGATATAATAAAAGCACCTTAAGTCAGTGGATGGCACCAGGTCCCTGAAGAGGCACTGTCAGATCAGTTAAGCACATTCCTGCACAGAAAGGGATCTGCTACCTCAAGGGAATACCCATACCCCAGTCTGTCAGGTTTCAAGCCATTGAAACACACTCAAATCTCTATTTATAGCAAAGAAAGTGGTTATACTGAATGCCTGAAATCTCAGCCAGTTATTTAACATTTCAGATACAGACTCTTAATGAACTCTCCTTCCTTGAGAATCAACTACTGGGTAAACCAGAGACACCTCAGAATGTCAATAGATGCCACCCTATCTAATGCCAGTGACATGAAAAATTAACAGACCTTGTAATGAGCTCTCAAAATCCAGGCACTTTTTGACTCCAAATTGGAAAAGCATCATACCCCAGAATTCTTTACAGTGAGTGAGTAATCAGCCACCTTCCTCTCACACCACATTGCCAGTGGTGCCTCTGCTGACCCAGAGCTTCTCACAGGGAATGATGAAGTTTTCCAAGTTGTTTCAAGTCCATCAGAGCTTTGTTTTCAAACCCAACATCTCCCAGTCTGTCCAGAAGCTCACAGGTGTCAAGTGCAGACCTAGAGCTCAGGCACTGCACACTTTCTCAGGTGCCCAGTTTACCCTGGAGACCTCCTGCAACAGTTTAAGATGCAGCCTGCTAGAGAGTGCATTTTGGATATCAAACTGCAGAAGCAACAAAGGTAATGAAGAGGGGAAGGACCTCCATCTGCTCCAGGGACACTGGGACTGCACAGGTAGAAGGTCCAGTCAGCTCTCCCACTCCAATCCAGGGCAACAGAAGAGTAGCAGCACCTTATGCACAGCAGTATCAACGGCAGCTTAAGGCTATCCCTGAACCAACAAAGAAATCAGTGCAATGAACACGGTCACAATCAGAGACCAAGAGCGACAAGGGCTTTAAGGCAACTGGACACATCGGGACTGTATCATCACATCACGTAAAGATGGAAGCTATGGACAAAGACAGCCCTTAGCTGCACAAGGCCATTCTCTTTAAAAGAGAAGCAACAACTTCCAATAACCAAAACCATTATTTCTTTCCTGCCAGCCTTTGTGATCTGGGGGAAATTAATCTGATGCATCCTGAGATCGTGCCCTCCTTTAAAAGAGCAACTAAGAATGTGCCAAAGGCCCTGAATAACAAAGGCACGATGCTTTGGAGAACCAGTAGGCTAGCTTGCAGCTCTGGAGGTCCCAAAGAAGTATTTGGGATGCAAGATACTAGTGATAGGTAAGTAGGAAAGAAGAGGTAACTTGCACAGTGACCGAGAGAACAGGACGACGTCTCCCACCTGCGCTCCTGGTAGCCATCATAGGTCGAGTCATTCAGATAAACGATGGGGGAGCCAGGAGCCGCTATTGTCCCTCCTTCAGGGATGCTATAGGATGCCAAACCATCTAAAAAAGAAGGCCATATACCTCAGAAATACAGCAGCAGCAGCCTTCCATCACCTCTGTCCATATGATCCTTTTACTCATGATGTGGACCAACAGAAGCAGTTCCGTGGGCCTGGGATTCCCTCTGCATACGTGGGACACAGGCGAGTCCCAGTGAGCATTGTGCAAGGACTACTTTCCAGTGCCAGGCATGGAAATTGGTACTTACCATACCAGACACAGCCATAGAGCTCCACCCTCATGCAGACAGTCATTGGCATCTCTGTCACAGGAATCACCCGGATAAAACGTGCAATGATGGGAGGCCGAAGATCTTTCAAGACCACGTCGTAAGTGTCGATGTTGCCTTGGATCACCTGGAGAAGAGAGATCCTTACCAGCAACTGCTCCCCATTGTGCTGTTCACCTGGACAGTGGTGCACTTGTACCCCATTACTGAGCCTGGGGAGCTTCGCCATGCAGTATCTGCAGGGGGTTACCTGCTACTGCTCCCCTCCTCCTACCTGGTATATGGCTTACAGGCTGAAGGGTGCTACCATTTCACCTCCTGTCCACTGCCAAGGAGGAAGGTAGGTGAGAGATGAATGTACACGTAGACTAGACATTGCAGAGAGCTCCAGTTACTAGTACGTAACCTCTCTTTCTTCAAGTGAGTGTCCATGTACGTGCTAACACCAGGAAACTGAGCACTTGCCCTCATCACTAGATACCTGGTGGAGGATCCTGATGTCCTTTCTCTATAAGCCAATAACCTTCCAGAGGTGCTGCTCTGTTTGGGAATGAAGGTGCAATCAGCCGCACAGCAGATGTCTTGTGTTCAGCATGGCTACAGTCAGCCCATCCTGCTGAGGTGCAGTCTGACATGGCAGCAACTTCCACCCTCCCCTTCCCTCAGCTTCACCATAGTTCTGGGAACAGTCTACTATTTGTTTGGACAGTCAGTGTGCGGAAAGAGCTGAAGCTGCCAAACCACCAGCAGTGCACACAAAGTGCCTAAAGGGATTTCTTTTAGAGGACTTGGACCTATGGAAACAAAATAAAAACACTTTTGGTATCAAAACTGTGAATTACAAGTGTGAGAGCTCCTGTTCAAAGATACTACTGGTGTGAAGGGTGAATCAGAGGCTGAGGTTACTCACAAGACCACATAGATTGCAATTGTTTATGCACAGGAGGCCAACAAGGGAGCAGAAAGGTGGCTTCCCCTTCATGGCAGCAGGGAGTGAGTGTGGCTGGAGCATCTGGGGAGAAGTGAAAGACCTTACTGTATCACAGAGAAACCACTCAGAAGACTGCATTGCCCTGAAGAGCCAGCCACATCTGGTGGTCTACTGGGCTGCACCAGGATGGCTTTGTTGGCTGTAGCTGGTTGGACAGCTCTGCAAAGGTGCACAGTCCCAGGAGGTGAGCGAAGGAAACAGAAGGAAAGCCAAGCAGTAAGCTTGCTTCCTCATCCTCTGCAGCTCAATAGGCTTTTCATCTGCAGCCTGTGAACATCTCTCTTCCCAGGAGAAACACCCACGACTTCTTGCAATGAAATAGGGACATATAAGTAACTCTTGTCTTCAGAAACCAAGTATAGTGATTAACACTTTCAGCTGTCAGAGGGGCTAAGACAGGAGACTCGGGAGCCACCCAGGCTGGCTCCACAAAACCTTCCTGATATGAAACAAAACCCAAGAGGAGACAGCATATGGCAGAATATCCCACCTTTTCATCACAGAAGTTGGACAGATCCTCTGGAATTGATAATTTGTCAGGGAATCTCTGAGGGGCAGATGTCCCTGTCTGTGGCAGGGGGTTGGAACTGGATGAGTTTTCAGGTCCCTTCCAACACAAACCATTCTATCAGACTATGATTCTGTATGTCAACCCTAGATGGACACAGCTGGACAGAGCAAGAAGAAAGGCATCCTCTTCAGGAACAAGTACCTTTGCACCAGCTCCACAGTGGAAGAGCTGACATTTTTGCCTGTCCTGTCCAGACATCTCTGAGCGAAGCAAAAGAGAAGATGCCCTTTGTGCAGCACCTCCACAAGGTGGGGTTGCTGCTACTGAGCATAAGTTTCTCAGAGCCAAAAACGTCAAAATAAATCAGCTGCGTCTGGAACAAACTCAGCACCAGCTTCCAGCCCCACCACTACTGATGCCAGTGTTCCCAGCATCAAGAATGAAGAGGTGCTGCTGACAAGTAACTGTTGGTGGCTGGTAACAGAAGCTGATGAAGGACCAGGACTTACACTGCTGTGTCATGCAAGGTTACTGCCAATGAGAGGACCATCCTTAATTGATGTCAAAGACAAGGGGACAACAAATTGACTTTTTGCCTTTACTGAGCAAATTAAAGCTGGAGATGATGTTCCTGGTGAGAAGCAGTATATGCTACATGTTGAAAGCTAGCAGCACAGGGAAGGGGTGGATTTGCTTTGTTTGGCTGCAACCATTTGTGTGATCTCCTTGGACAGACACATGCCAAGATAGGTTCATAGAGTCACACACTGAAATAGCAGTGATTTGGCATCAACTGCAGCACTGGAAGAGGTCTTCCTAATGCACACAGATAAGTAGATCTGGATCTTGCACCTCATTCCAAGGTCTGAATGATTTTACAGGATATTTTTACCTAATTATTTGACCAGACAGCAGCGCTGCTGAAATATGGATTCCCTAATGGAATATACCCCTTACTGGGGACATGCCCTGAACAACATGTTTTTTGGAAAGTAATTTTCCAGAGGAGCTGAAATGGCAGGAAGTGCACTCATTGTGTATGTCCAGAACAGCAGGAGCAGAGGAGCAGAAGCATTTTCTCTAAGGATACCAAGAGGGAAAGCTTTTTGGTCTCATGCAATGGGGAACAGGTACACACACAGATAGAATATATGTGGACTTGGGCAATAGAGGATGGCTCAAATTACAGCATCATACACAGCTGAATTACCTTATTATGGCTTAAGAGGGAAATCTTGCAAAAACTGACCTGTACTAAATGTAACATCTGACACTAACACAGTCCTGAGTGTCCCAGAACCCTGCTCTGCACAGGAGCAGGGTGGGAGACAAAGAGCTGCTTGTGGACAGTGTAACCTATCGAATTCTGGTGTAACTCAACATGCAGACAGACTTCACCTAAGAAAGTGACAAAGAGGAATAATTAGCCCCATGGAGTTTAAACCTCCCCTCCCATCCTGCAAACACACCAAAATGTGAGGGATGGGCAAGATAATGGTAATGGTCAAATGGCTGATCAAAGGTCTGAGTGAACAAATAATTCATTAACAAGCTAGAACCTATTACCTAATACTGAACACAGACACCACTGTGACTTATAAAGCACCCCAAGGACAAGAAAACATCACCCAGTACCTTTCCAGTCTGGCTTAGGTCTTCAGACTCAGGTATGGAGACAGCAGGAGACAACTGTGGTGAGCTGGGAAGCCTCTTTGAGTGTGTGCTCAGCACATTTCCTACCTTCTAAACTCCTTCCTCCTCATTGCTCCCTATATTGAGCTCTGTTATCAGATATCCAGAAACTCATCCCCATTCCCTGCCATCCCCTCCCTTTTAACTATAAAGCAGCCATCTGCTTTGCAGCTTCCAATTTAGGAGCGATTGTCTGGCTGGGAAAGGGACATTCACCTGATGTTTTAACATGGACAGAAAGAGTGAAGAGTCACAGCTTTCAGTCACAGCGATGGCTGGGATTTAGGGGATCAAGTCAGGAGAGGAACAGTCCAACACCACAGCAAACACAGGACTAAGGCAGAGGACGCTGAATGCCTGACAGAGAAGAGTCAGGACACAGTATCGTGCACAAAGCAGCACCTAGAGGATGTTCCTCCACACTCACCTTCCTGCCCTGACGGTCCTTCCAGGAGACCCAGCGCTCGCCGTTGCGGCTGTAGTCAATGCGGTAAGCGCGGGCAAACTCCTTGCCTGTGGCATGGGCATGCCGTCCCTGAGTGCCAACCAAGGTGATGAAAAACAGCTTGTGCAGGTCGATTTGGAGGAACTGGACATCTTCTGGTTGCAGCAAGCCAGCTGGGCACCAGGCTCCATCCCCCTCTTCCCTTTGTAACCTGAGGGGAAAAGTACACGCACAAGAAGTTTCACTTAAAGGAACTGAGGAAAACACCTTGAAACTTGGGGAATTGGGAGAAGGAAACCAAATCAGCAAGAAAGACCTAACAGCTGGCTACCAAATACCTCTCCCCCCTTCAGGGTGATGGTAAATTGAGAGTCCTGTAGCTGGTTTTGCCCTGTTCAGAACAACTACGTCAGTTTAAGACATCTTTAATTACCTGTCAGAAGACACTCCTTCCCCAGACACATACTTTCATGTTGATCAGAAACAACTGTGCTACTCTGTAGGTAATTGCATACCACATGCTTTTTAGCACCTCACTGGTAAAGTGTACTTGCTTCACCTAAACCCCACACAGTAAGACCTGAACCTCTGCTTGGCCACCTTCTAGAGCTCGAACACACACAAAAAGGAGCTATCCTAAGAATACAGAATCCCAGCCTGGTCTGTGTTGGAAGGGACCTTAAAGCTCCTCCAGTCCCAACCCCCTGCGACGGGCAGGGACATCTTCCACTAGAGCAGGTTGCTCCAAGCCCCTGTGTCCAACCTGGCCTTGAACACTGCCAGGGATGGGGCAGCCACAGCTTCTCTGAGCAACCTGTGCCACTGTCTCACCATCCTCATCAGAAACCACTTCCTCCTAATACCCAATGTAAACCTGCTGTCTTTCAGTTTAAATCATTGCCCCATGTCATGTCACCCTGGAGCTCTGGTTGCATTACCCTGCATGCTCTCTGGACCTGTGTCTCCTGGGCTGTACTGCGGGCAGCTTGCACCTGGAGCTCTCCCCTCCCTATTTCCCCCATGCTACTTGCCATGGTGGATGCTTTTACCAGCGAAGTGCCAAATCTTTTGCTGTCCCTGCAGAATGACTCAGCAAGGCAGACAAAAAGCTCGTAAGTGTGGCTCCAAGTGTTGTGAACAGATGTCCCTACTTTGTGGCTGCACATGGAGCACTTCACCAGATGCATTCCAAGTAGCCAGCACTGCCTGACCAGGTCAGGGGGACATTACAGAAAGAAAAGCTCTGCCCATCTACAAATTATTCTAGGTCATCTCAACATATCTTCCACGTTTCCTTCAGACCTGCTTGTGCAGAACACTGCTGGGGGTACAGTATGAAGGTCTCTGCACCCAAATTGAACATTGTGGCACCAGCTGCAAAGATCAAGGCTTTTATCCTTGGGGATGGCTACCGCCATCAGCAGAACCTGTGAAGGAGCCATGCTGCCTTCCCTGGGTGTCTGCAGGCTCCCCATGCAAACCACGAGGTGGTGAGAGTTCTAAATATGAGAAATGTATCCAGACATGAAAAGACCCTATGGGCTTTCTAGCAAAAAGCATTTCCCAGCAAACAGGAAGACCTTGAAGTGTCCTTGTCTTTTGGACAGTTGTCTAATGGATGTGATCAGTGAGTGCCAAGCCCCGTGCATCAAGGAATGCAGTACCCAGAAGAGACACTGAAGGTCAAGGCAAAGGCTGGAGAAGATTTTTGTCTCAGCTGTTTGTGCCAGAACTTCTTACAGTGAAGTGGCAAGTAAATGAAGTTGTAAGGAAGGCAAGCAGGGTGACTGTGAAGTGACAGGGACAGACATCTGCATAGGACAACTATGACCTCTAACAAAATGAGGTCAGCTAGAGGATGCCTTCATGTCTTCACCCTGTGGACATCCAGCTGCCCTGGCAAAGAGACGATGATAACAGATGGTAAGTGATGCCTGAAGTATTTGCAAACTGCAGATAAGCCATCCCTCGGAGAACAAAGTGAGTCTCCCAGCTTTCAGACCCACAGGCGTGTTCAAACTCCACTAAAACACACGACACATTTGGCATCTTTGCTCTACCATAGACTAACCAAAAAAAAAAAAAAATAAATCAAGCACTAGGAGAATTTTATGATTTTGACTGCCCAAATTCACCATAAAGATGAAAGTACCATAATTAACCTGAAATTAATCTGCATTCAGCTCTGGGGCAACAGCACAAGAGGGATGTGGAGCTGTTGGAGCGAGGCCAGAGGAGGCCACGGAGCTGCTGAGAGGGCTGGAGCAGCTCTGCTCTGGAGCCAGGCTGAGAGAGCTGGGCTGGGGCAGCTGGAGAAGAGAAGGCTCTTGAAGGGGAGACCTTAGAGCAGCTTCAGTGCCTGAAGGGGCTACAAGAAACCTGGAGAGGGGCTTTGGACAAGGGCCTTGTAGGGACAGGACAAGGGCAATGGCTTGAACCTGCCAGAGGGGAGATTGAGATGAGCTCTGAGGCAGAAGCTCTTCCCTGGGAGGGTGCTGAGGTGCTGGCACAGGGTGCCCAGAGAAGCTGTGGCTGCCCCATCCCTGGCAGTGTTCAAGGCCAGGTTGGACACAGGGGCTTGGAGCAACCTGCTCTAGTGGAAGGTGTCCCTGCCCGGGGCACGGGGTGGGGCTGGAGGAGCTTTAAGCTCTTTTGCAACCCAAACCGGTCTGGGATTCTGTATTCGTATCTGACTTGCACCAAAGCCATAGGAATGTTTGATACCATCATTATAAACAATTCCAAGGTAACTTATAAGTATTCTGTAAATCATCAGTGAGTGGCTTTGAGAGAAACACAATGATAACAAGAAAAGAAAAGCCAAGCTTATGGCACACCATAGTGCTGCTTGACACTGAAACAAAATCCTTCAGCTGCTTTAGAACAATTCCTTAACTCTGCAGTTCCCAGGTTTTTGAGTCAAAGTAGACACAGCCCATTTCCCCAATAGGATGCTGTGGAAAAGTTCATCCTTGTAAATGATTTCCTATTATTTAGTTTAAAGCTCTCTACAAGAATCCCAGGGGCACTGTCCCGAGCTGATCTGTAAGTCACAATCCATTAGAGATTTATTCACAGGATGGGGGTCGGAAGCAACCTCTGGAAGTCTCTAGTCCAGTTTCTCACAGCAGAGCTAAAACCAAAGCTATGGTGTGCTGCTTTATACAGACAAATCCAGATTTCCCCCCCTTAATAATGAATCAGGATTTCCTGTATCACAGCTTGAGACCGTGACCATTGCCTCCTGGTCTTTCACAATGCTCTAATTAGATTTAACATGGAAGCAGTGAACAAGCTAAGCAAAGAGGTTTCTTTAAGGGTGAGGGAACTTCTTCCTCAACCACATCCTGGATATCTAGAAGAAAAAGTGATTACATTTTTGCTGGAGATGAACCCACCGTGCATACTGGGGCCCTGTGGAATCATACCACTGGCTGGAAGCTGTGATGTCTTCATCTCGTATCGTCCCTTCGTGCATACCCAAAGGGTAACGGCATATAGCTGAAAATGGGAACACAAGCAAGGCCAAAAGATCAGTTCCAATTCCTTCTAAATCACCAGACAAGTTTAATTAAAAGACTATCATGCCTAGGGAATAAACATGGGAATGATAAAATGGAGAATGCAAATAAAAAGGATGAAGTACTCTATAATTACTATAAACTGAAATTATAAGTAATGAAATGCACTCACAGCATCATTCAGCAGAGTCCTGGCAAGGCAAAAGCTTTACAGAGAAACACTTTAAGAACAGGAAATCCAAAGCCATACTATGTTACCGGTTGTGTGGACCTATTTTACAATGAAAAGCTATCAATAATGAGACATAAAAAGGAATCATTTGTTAAAAAGTTTTTTCTTCTTCTTCTGGAACAAACTTCATGCTTGACTTGCATTCAAATAGGAGCAATTATCATCTTCATCAGGCTGGTTACAAGTGAGAAATAAAACTGCTTTTATTATAGATGACTAGAGCAGCTTATGGAAACATCTGCTCTGTTGTGTCACTGCAGGTTGGAGCTTACATTTGAGCACAAGCTCTGGCCATCCACACTGCTCCATCCCAGGCTGTTCCCAGCCTCAAATGGAGCAGGCATATCTCTCCAGACATGAGAACACGCTCAGACTTGGTGCCTCGAGGAAGTACACACACAACTGGCTCAAGCCACGGACCTCTACAAGTTCCATCCAGCTCAATACACCAAAGCCAGTGCAGATGGAGCTCAGAGATCCAAGCTGGCCAAATTCTCTCCCCTGACACAAGTTTTTAAACATGTCTTGGAATATTAAAGATGTTTCAGAGAACTCAGAAACTTAATGTGTTCATTAAGGCTCAGGATTCAAACCAGACAAGTGAGATATTTTTGTCGGACTGACATCAACAGCAGATTAAAAAGAAAGTTATATGGGATTAAATCATGAAACAACTAAAAGACCAAAACACACTCAATGGCACGTCCAGGAAAGAAGGAAATGGACTTTTCACAGATTTTTGGTCTATGTCCTCATAGCAGCCCCACAACAGCCCCTGTCTGCGGGGACACAGGCAAGAGCCACACAAGCTTCAGTCACTCCATGGCACACGTGTTGCTGCATCCTCACTGCCTGTCCCCAGCCAGGACACTGCCTTGGGTGTGCTCCTCATTCCTCTACCTCAGGACTGACTCCCTTGCACCAAGCCTGGACCAAGCTGTTCTCCAGGCTCAGAGGCTACAAGAAAGGACAGAAGCATCAAACCCACCACAGGCCATATAACTGCCTGACATATTTCAGTGTAGAAATGTTTGCATTGTCAGGCACAGTCTCAGTGAATGTGTGATGTTCTTCATATTCTTAAATCATCTTGTAAAGGAGATGGATGGTGAGGTGACAGTGTCTGCTGATACCACCAGGTTATTTAATACAGAAGAAAAATCAAATTATGGAAATACAGACAAAACAAACTAGAAGACACGATTACACCACCAGCTGTATTCATGGTCAGATGCCAGTCAGATACAGAACAGAGCACTCACTCCTTCCTTCTCCCATCAAAAGGCAGAGAAGGCAGCACAGATGAGGTAAGGAAAGATCAGCAGGCTCATCGTTACAAAAGAGAATACTGAAGTGAAGCATGACAAAGATATTTATATCATAAACAATTACTCACTGTCTCTAAAAATACCAGAGGCAGGAGGCATCAAGAGATCAGGTAGCAGAGTTCAAAACCAACATACGCATCCTTCATCGCCTGAGAGCTCTGAATGCCAAAGGTACCCAAGGTACAAAAATCACCCCCACACACACTGCCACAAGCAAACACCCAAGGGGTAGCTCAGAAAGCTCCTATCCAGCAGAGTGCAGGAAGCCAGAGCACACATGGGTAGAGCACTGCTGTGTGCTTGCCCATCTGTGCATCCTTCCCAAGCCAGCAGGGATGGGGACCCTGCTGGAATCATGACACCAGGCTGGATGGGCCTCTGGTCTCACCCAGAGCATTCATTCATATACCTGAGGTTTCTTAAGAGGCCTGTTTACAGAAGAATTCACTGGGAAGCAACTGCTACCTGGCTGGGATCAAGCATGATGACTGTGCAGGCTGAGAGCTCTAATCCTGCTCGGACACCGAGGTAATTTTAGTAACCAAACTAGCCTCCACTGTCTTCACTCTTCCCTGTCCCACCAGTACAATCTGATCTATTGCTGGGAAGCCAGTATACTTCTAGTTGCTGAACTATGGGTAAATATCTGAAGATCATCCAAAAGGGTGGAGTTGTCTGAAAGCAGAAAGGGGTTTATGTGTTTCTGCAGTGGGAGTCCTGTCTGGTCACACATTATTTAAAGGTCAAGTGCACACCATACAGCAATGCCAGACGGAGAGCTGGCTAGGTGAGAAGGACTCTGGGGGACCAGGGCTTATAGCAATCCTTAACAAAACTCATTTGTCCTCAGACCCAGGGCTGGCAGATGGAAGCCAGAGCGTCCCTGGCATGGAGGGATGCACTCTGCAGGCGGCTGTGGCTCTCACCAAAACAAGCTGCACGAGGCTTTCACCAAGATGCACATCTTCCCACCCAAAACCACCCTTGGGTTCTGTTTAGGTGCCACCAGGACTGCTGCTCAGATATCCCTGACCCTCTACTATGCACTGAGGAACACACTCACCTGCCATGCAGAAAGGCTACACTGAGGCTCAGAGAAGTGTTGCAGCTCACGCCTGTTAGTGAGGTCAAACAACTGATGCTAGCAAAGGGACTCCACAGAATCCTTCCTACACAGGTCTGAAATCACCCACAAAGCAGCCTCTTTGGTGTAGAAGGCAATGCAGAAGGTGCTTCAGAGCACTCCTGGAGCAGAGCAGGAGGTCAAGATAATCACAGCTGGGCATCACAGCCAAGGAGCATCAGCCAGGCCATAAGGTGTGCTGGAGTTGGGCTGGGAACAACAGGGCACACACAGCCCCTTGGTGCAGAGAGGGCTGAGCAAGCAGAGCTGCTTGAGGAAGTCACAGGGAGAGGCAAGTGTGAGTAAAGCTACATGCTGCTTCCTTGGTGGAAAAAGATGACTGTGGAAGTGTGGGACCACAGCCCTGTGCTCAGATCCCATCCACCCCCCAGGATCTGGTGTGGGGGGGGAGCTATTCCTGCACCTTTGGCTGTACCAACTTCTGTAGTTCCACCGCCAGAAGGAATCTGCAGGTGACTGACCCTCTGGCTGCTGTCTTCCCTCTTCTTCCACTGGGTTTTAACCATCAAAAGGAGATGGTAACCCAGTTCAAAGTTGGACTGTGTGGAGTGTACAGTGCAGGGAAGAGCTGTGTAACAGGGGAGCACAGACCCTGCTGAGCCCCTCACAGGCCTTGCTTCACTTCTGGCTGGTTGCAGCACAACCTCAAACCTCGGCACAGATCCAGAGGCCAGAGCAGGGTCAGAGCCACAGTTAAAAGGCCTACAAACAAAGAGAGCCAGACCCAGCAGAGCAAAGGAAGGCCCTCAGGGTAGCACTGCTGCCTCACCACACCTTCAGCCAAGCTGGAAAAGGATTACACTCATGTATTTCACAGACTGTCTCCAGCTCGAACCACCTCATTATGGGGATTTTTGCAGTATATTGCAGACCATTACCTTACTCATCTCCATCGTGATTTCAACTTGCCAAGTGCTGTAGCATAAGAGGTCAGGCCTTCCACAGGGACTCACAGGCTCATATCCTTGTCTCCACTCTAGCTTTGTGCCAGGTAGGGTTTTCTACCTTTCTTTCCACACTTCTCTCTCGAGAATCCCTCTTGCTGGCCAAGAGTGCTGTGGCTTGCGCTTTGCTAACTGGCAATTTGCTTTCCACAGCATCTCTGAGCCAGTCTAGAGCCAGGTTTGTTCTGCAGGCCACACGGTCAGTGATGAAGGGATAACCAGAACTCAGGACAGGCCTGCAGAGAGCACAGACCCTCTGGGTGGGCAGAGAATGGAGTATATCCATGTGCCTGAGCCCTCCTGGGACTGACAGGAGAGGTGTCCCACTCCAGCACAGGAGCCCAGGGGAGGACATTCAGGTACTACATTAGTGATCATAATTACATGCATACATTACATTCACCATGAGAGGCAAAGAAAGGTTGAGAACGAGCACATGAAAGGCGGGAGAGGAGAGTCCTCTCCCAGCCTGGCAGCTCCCTACCAGGGTTGACCTGGGCGCCTGCCGGCTCAGGCAGGGAGGCCAGCAGCAGCACGCAGAAGATCATGGTAGCAATCGCAGGCTGTGCAGGGTCAGATGGGTGCGAGTCCTTCGAACACAGCAGCTGCCATCTACATCTCTGAAAGACAAAGCAAAGAGACAAGATGAGAGTCCTCCACAGACAGGACTCCTCTGTGCTGCAGGCTGGCTCTATTGCCCTTGCCTCGTGACGGGTCAGGCAACCTTCCACGCCTTGTCAAGAGTGTTTTGACCTCAACCCTACTCTGAGCCATCCCCTCACAGAGGCTTAGTGAAGAACTAATGATTGCCCAGCTACCTATGCTATCTCTAGAGCTATTCATGGAATTCAGCTTTCAGAAGCTCAGCTCCTACAACTACCATGTGGAAATACTCTCTTAACTGCTTTTAACCAAATCCAGTGCAAAGTAATCTGCCCCCTATCAATTCTTCACCCTCCTCATTACATTATGAGCACTGAAGCTGTATCTACAGCAAACCTGGACAGTCCAACCAGGGCTCATCCACCCAATGCACATCTCTATCCACACCAGCTCTGTACTCCAAGCCAAGCGGGCACTCTGGAACTTGTCTCACGACTGTAGGATAAATGTCTAAAACAGGGTGAAAATCATCTCTCCCTACATGTCCACACTGCTGCCACAGGAGCATGTGCACTCATACATGCAAGCACACTTCATTTCCTGTTTGGAAACAAGGAGAATAGCAGAAGGCTTAAACTCTGGCAATTCCAGTGGAAATCCATGATAACACCTAAAGGAACACAAGGTCATCTCAGCAGTATGTGAATTCTTTGTGTCCACATTGACTACAAAAAGCCTCGGGAGGCTCCCATCCTGGAGGAGAGCTTTACAGAAAGCAGGTTAGAGGCTCTGTCTCCTAATGAAATGTCAGGCAAAAAGAAAACAGAACAAAGCAATAAATGAGAAAGTTGCCAGGACCAGAGGGTGTTTCTCAAGAACCCTCAGAGTGGTAGTAAAAAGGCAAAACTGAATGCTAGGATTTGTTAGTAAAGGAAGAGAGGATATGAAAGGGCCCATCGCTATGCCAGTGCATACATGCATGCAAGAGCATCAGATGCCATTAGCTCAGAGGTTTCTAACAAAAGGCTGTATTTTTTCCACCCAACAGAATTAAACTGTACAAGTCAGAGCCCTCAGTTGCCCTGGATACCAAAACAATTGGATAGATTCACAACAGAAAGACACAGCACAGCTTCTTAAATCCAAAGGTAAAACCTTTGGCTCAGGAAATCCCCCCGCTGCAGATTGCTGAGGAGCTGAATCAGAGTTAGAATCACTGAAGCTTGTCCTGGTTTTATTCTCTTTCCTAAGGATATGCTACTGGCCATTGTCCCTGCTGGATTTCATCACAAGAGATGGCTCTGAGCCTGAAAAACAACTGAGGGCCTTCTTGGGAGAAGAGCCAAACACACGTGCAGGAGGGGAACTGTGATGGTGGATGCTGCCCAGCAGTGCTGTGCCCAGCCACAAAGCAAACCAAGACAGACCTTAACATGCTGCTTCATCCACCTCCAGAGCTCCACGTGAGGACCCTGGCCAAGGCTGACAACAAGGTTTTCTGCCACCTCAGGCAAAAGCAAAGCACTGGAGGGAAGAGGAAGCCCTTGGCTGAAATGGAGGGGAGTGATCTCTGATCAAACACCCCAATTCCCACCATCCCAGGGCAGGCTGCAACTGCCACAGAGCAGACACTTCTTGTAGCCAAGCAGAGGGAGTCTCTAAAGACATTTTTGTGGGAGAGTTTAAGGACAGTGCTGGTGGATGTTAGTCTATGCAGGTGCTTTGCTGGGGTGCCCCAGAGGCTCCCAGAGTGGGACTTGCAAAGGGAACTGCACAGAGTTCAGCACTAGAGGACACAATCTTCCCACAGGACCCAAGAAAGGGAAGTGTTACAAACATTAAGGCTTTACATTTAACCTCCTTCCTGGAGGAGGTGATGGGAAACCCAGCAGAGCACTGTTTGGGTGTGCAGGATGCCCTCACTGTGACCCACGTACCCATCCAGATCAGCTGCACTGTATGGGTGCCACCTGGGCTAGAGAAGATCCTTCCCATGGGTCCCCATCCTGGCCCAGCCACTGGACATTGCTGCAGGATGCTGAGGAGGCCCTGAAGAGAACAGCAGCTTGGAGACATCTCCCAGGTGGAGGTTTAAAGCTGTCAGCTGTACCAGAGGCCTCAAGAAGGCAAAGGATGAGCACACAGACACTGCACATGCTCCTCACCCCTGCAGAGCCTAAACCAGAGCCTGCCAAATGGGGAGAGGATTAGACACCCATAAAGACACAGGGTAGCTCCCAAAGCACCCAGGGGTTTTCCTCTGTAACCTGTCCAGGGTTAAGGGAAAGGGTGGCTAGAGAGCACTGAAATAGGGCTAGTACATGGCTGGGTGAGGACCAGAGGCCACTGTGGAAGGAAATACGAAACAGGAGCAACCCCAGACAGCACTGGAAGTGTTCAAATGCCTTGGATTCCCATTGGATCCAAAAGACCAGCACAGAAGGATCAAGAGCAGGGAGGCAGATACCTGCAGCAGAGCACAGAGATGAAGGAGCCCCCATCCTCTGCCATCAGTGCACAGCTCACAGCCCAGTTGAGATGGGACAGCCCTGACTGAAAGGTACCAAGTTGAGCCTTAGCATAAGGATTTTGTCTGTGACAGAAGATTAGCTGTGCTAAGTGTTCTCATGCTCTCAACATGGCAAGTCACAAAGTGGCACGTCAAGTGGAAGTCACAACAATGCCAAAGTCACAGCAATATAACGAATGCAACACAAACAGAACCATCATCCCATCTGACCAGGAACAGACCAAACACCAGAATTTAAGTGCCCATTTGCTCTAGGCAAAGCTCACCCCATGTTCTAAATGACACCCATTGCACTGCCACAGCAAGTCACATCACACAGGAAAAAATCCTTCCCTGTGAGGGTGCTGAGGCTCTGGCACAGGGTGCCCAGAGAAGCTGTGGCTGCCCCATCCCTGGCAGTGTTCAAGGCCAGGTTGGACACTGGGGCTTGGAGCAACCTGCTCTAGGGGAAGGTGTCCCTGCCCGGGGCAGGGGATTGGAACTGGAGAAGCTTTAAGGTCCCTTCCAACACAAACCAGGCTGGGATTCTGTGATTTAACCACTTTGACATGGTAAGATAATAGGAGGGAAGAAGGAATGGGGTGGAGGGTAGGCAAGGAAAGTCACACAAATGCCCAAGCACCATGTCAGCTCCTGCCACTGAGCCAGCAACCAGCACTGGAGGAAAGGGATGTGCTGGGGCAGCACAGTCGTCTGGGCCACCCTATCCCACCCTGTGAACCAGGGGCTCTTTGGGACTTGGTGGATAAGTGAAGCTCAGCAGCTCACACAAAAACAGGGTGGCTTGGGGGAACTGCAAGCCAAAACTGGAAGTGTTCAGTGTTTCTATATGGCCATAAACGGCAGCCTGGCCTCCAGGAGAGAGAAGGAAAGCTTCAGAGCTGGCTCTAGAGCATCTGTCTGCAACTCTGCGCCTACAAAAGATGGCTTTGAATTTGACTCCCGGCTAAAGAGTGGCCAAGATGAGCAAGAAGAATCCTCTCTGGACATGTCTCTCTCCTGTTCACAGAGGGAACTTAACAGCTGGCCTGGACCAGCCTCATCATTCTCTGGTGAGCACAGTTTGGTGGGAAAGCATCACCTTGGCATGTGGCAGTGACAAATTACATCCAGCAGCTCAGCCCTACATGGGGACCCCAGCAGCTGGGCTCAGGTTGTGCTGGATTTGCTCTTCCCACCACACTTGGTTCCCAGCCCTGGGCCACCAAAGTGCGCGTTTGGGAATGCCAGCAGAGATGCTGCACACTGGGAGCAAAGAGTGTCATTTCTCATCTTCTAGAGCTACACAGCAGCACTTGTTCTCCTGAGCAAGGTCACCAAGAGTGGTTTTCTCCCTGTCTCATTATCCAGAGGAACCTCAGCTCCCCTCAGGAGCTTGTACTGCCAGAAATCACTGTCTGAAGACCTTCTGATGTTGATTTCTGCTGAGCCCAAATCTCAGCCAGTAGTAGATTGGATTCCCAAACTGCACACTTCCCAGTGCTGCAACACACTGGAATACACTCTTAAATACAAGCCTCTGCATACACTGCTTGGAAATCATCTCGATAGTTTCCTTTGTAGCTCTTTCAGCTCCATGAGCCCCTCACTGGGACTCATCCTTTCTTCCCCACTTCCCCACATGTACACACAAAGTGCTACAACTCCAGCACAGGCCCCAAACCAGCAAAACCAGGATCAGCAACAACCTCAGAGAGGCAAGAAAGCGTTAAACTCTGCTCTCAGGCTGAATGGCTCAAGTTGCTAATTGCTAACAGCTGCCTGCAGGAGAAGAAACCCCTCTTACAACTATTGTGAGGGTGGAAAAAAAGCAGCTCCTCCCTGAAAAACTGAGAAATGCAAAAAAAGGGACAGTTATCCCCAATATACCCTCTCTAAAGAGCCAACCCATCTCAAGAGCAGCAGCTCGCTGTGACCCAGCGCTGTCCCACGCATGGAGTCCGAGAGCAGCAGCCCAGTGGGCGCAGGAGGGAGCTATTCTTTAGTGATGTGCACACAGAAGGTGGGACTTGGAGCTCCTCCAGGCACTGTTCTCCCTCCAGAGATCCATTATGGAGGTCTGGCATGTTTGCAAGCCTCTCTAGATCCCAAGTGAAATAGGCAGTTGTTTTAACTGGTTCCTTTGCAGATCATTACATTGGATTGGGACCTCAGGCTTTGCTGCAGGAATCCCATTACAGACGCCCAGCACCAGGCCAACAAACTCCACGGTCACGATGAGGACTCACTGCTGTATGATGCACTCTGTATGCGTTACAGGAAGGTCTAACCTAAATCAAAGTATCCTCAGAAGAGGTTCGGGAATGCTCAGGAGCATTAAATGGTACCTCCTAGCATTCCTACAGGAATTCAAGGAGGAAACAGCAAAGTTACTAATTGGGGCAATATCTGATGCCTGAAGAAATAAAGGCTGGAAAGTGTGATTTCCACTTTTCTGGCTCTGAAACAATAGTGGAACATGTCTCTCTGCCTCAGAATTAACCTGAGATACCCT